CTATGCGCCCGTGGGATCTTTGTGCCCGGCGCCTGCGGGGAAACCTCGCTCGCTCGGCAGTTGCCGCGCCTCTCGGCCGCGCTCGCTGCGCCCCGCGCGGTGGCTCGGCTCCCCACCTCCCACCCCCACTGCATGTGCATGCACGCACAGCGGCACTCTCTCACTGCCCGAGACAGATCCCTGCAGCTGCGCGGGTGCCGCGCGTGGGAGCTTGGCCCCCACCCGCCACCCCTAGCGGGTAGCTGCATGCGTGCCAGCGGCGGCTCGGCTCCCCACCCCCCACCCTTGCCATCTATCTGCATGCGTGCGCAATGACGCTCTCTTGCTGCCCGAGATAAAGCCCTGCAGCTGCCGCGCAGCTGCTCCCCTCCTCCAGCCAGCCGCCGCCCCCCGCCCGCACCCCTCCGGCCGCCCCCGTCCGGGGTCCGGGGATCCATCGGATGCGGGTGCGGGAGCACCCAGCAGCCGCGGAGCCGCTGGTTATTACAATAAGCAGATTCAGCGTGTGGAATTCGCTCCGCATCACAGGGCACCGCGCCTCAATCTGATCATCTGTTGTGTCACTCATCAGCGGCGGGTGTGTGCTGCGCCTGGCACAGTCAGGGCACAGTGTGCAAGACCACGCACGACTACATGGGTGGTGGGCACATGCATCGGTGCACCGGCTTGGGAGCACTCACGCGAGGATCTTACGTTTGGGATATGACGCCCCAGGGTCACGACAGCACGAGCACAAGGCCTGGGTGTCTTGCCATGAGCGCCCTCGCAAACGCCGGGTCGACCCCGTGAGCCTGAAACGCCAAAGCAATGCGCACCACCGGCGGACCCGCCACCGCTGGCGCCTCGCCTCCCTGCACCTGATCAACTTCCTCCTCCTCGTCGCACTGCCACTCCTCCCGCCACCTCATCGGCGCCGCCATGCGCTCAAGCTCGCGCGGCGCCATCTGCGCCGTCGCCACCCCGTCGCACGGGTCAGTCAGCCGCAGCGACAGCGCCCTGACCCGCCGCAGCTGCGGCAGCGCCAGCAGCAGCCGCGGCAGGACCTCTGCGCGGGGCGGCAGCGGCGGCGCCTCTGGCGCGGCGTCCTCGAGCATATTGTTCCAGTGGCGCCTCACCCAGCACTGCTCAGCATGCAGCTCCTCCAGGCAGCCGCCGAGCTGGCTCTCCCCAAGCACCCTCAGCACCCTGTCCGCGCCGTCCACAATGCCATCGAGGCGCAGGCGGCGCAGGCCGCCCCACTGCCGCACGGCGTCAGCGAATATCAAGGTTGGTTCCAGGCGGACGCCTGCGGCTAGAAGAAGCCAGGGGTCGGTGGAGATGCGCGCCACGTCAGCGAGGCGCGCGGCCGTTCGCTGATGCGCTTCTAGCCCGCGTGCAGAGGCCCCCACTAACCACTCTCCCAAGCGCGTCTGGCAGGTGTGGCCGTGCTCAAAGCATCAACAAGCTGCAATCTTCTGGAGCATCCGGACCGCCCGCCGTCAAACGCGGCCGCGCATTACCGTCGATATCCCATTTCAAGCGCAGCTCCAGCCCGCCCGCCGCCGCGCCCGCGGCCTCGCCGGCACCCTCCTCAGCAGGCGCCGCCGCCTCGACGCCCGGCGCAGTCGGGGCGCCCTCGATGGCACCATCGCGCCCAAGCGGCAGGCGCAGGTGTGTCTTGTCGCGCGCACTGGGCTGCGCCACGGCCATCCAACAGGGTGCCCCCTCCACGGAGCTCTCGTCGCCCATCTCGAGCAGCCTCAGCCGCCGCAAGCCGCGCAGCAGGGGCCCCGGGTGGAACTTCGAGGTTATGGTCTCCACGTAGAGCTCCTCGAGGTTAGGCGCGACCCGGTGGAGGTCGCCGCGGCGGGCCGCCTCGTGGTTGCCCTCGCCGCACGAGTCCAGCCAGGCTACCCTCAGCACCCGCAGCCGCGGCAGCGGGGGCGGCGGCAGCGGCGGCGGCGGCCCCGCGCCGCCCGCCTGTGCGGGGCCGGGCGACTTGGGGCCCTCGAGAGCGACCCCTCTTGCGATCTCGAGCACCTCGAGGTTTGGCACGTTGAAACCGATGTCCCGAAAGGGGTCGGAGGCGCTGTCCTCCGGGCAGCTGAACGGGCTGTCTGAGAAAATGTTGCCGCGCTCTAAGAAGCTGGTTTGGGGTGGGCACAGCAGCGAGAAACTCTTGGGTACAGCGCGCCGGCGGGGTGGCGTTTCCGTGTTGCAAAACTTGCAATTTTGACGTTCCTGTGGTGGCATGCGCGCGAGCAGCCGCGCCAGGCACCGCAGCGCCGCCCCGAGCGGCGACAGCCCACTCCTCGCGGAGCGACGAGCGGCTGCAAGAGAGGCCGCCTGCCTTGCCAAGGCGCTCTGCTGCCCGCAAATCCCAGCCATTTGCTGCCACGGACGCACGCTGGCATGCACCCATGAGCGATGTATTAGCATCAAGAGATGGAGGGCGGGCGCTCACTGTTCCGAGGTGTCCCCTAGCACGAGGGCAGTGACAGAAGTGAGCGCATTCCCCGCGACGCACGCGAGCATCTGCAGGTTCTCCAAGTCGCCCGAGGTCATGAGCTCCAGCCGCCGCTGCGCCAGAATTGAAACGGGGCACAGCACAGGAGGTCAAGAATGGGAGCTGCACACGTGCACGCGCGGGGTTGCAGTCAAATCAAGGCGCGGCCGCCGCAGGGCCGGCCACGCGCATGCGGTTGCGGGGTTTGCGGAGGCGGCACGCCCAAGCGACGGAAGCGTACGCGTCAGCGCTCGCACGTGCAAAACTGCCCCCCAGACGCCGCCGTGTGCGGGTGCCGCCCACCAGTGCCGTCAGGCCAGCCAGCGCCGGCGGCGCGATGCCTTTGGGCCAGTCCACCAGCGTGAGTGTCTCGAGGGACGTCGCCCCGCGCAGGAGCGGCCTGAAGGCGCGCGCGATCTTTGGCCGCATCTCAAAGCGCAGCTTGAGGGCCGTCAGGCGGCCGAACAGCGCCGACAGCGGCGACGGGTCGAACTCCGGCTCGTGGTCGTAATGCTGGCGTGGCAGCGGTATCCAGAGGCTCAGGTCGCGCACGCTTGCCAAGGCGTCTGGGGGGGGCGAGCGATAAGAGCCTCCGCTTGGCCGCCGGAAGCGTGGGATGTGTGTACTGTAGCGCATTAGAGGGCAGCAGGCGGATGTGGAGGACACGCAGGTTGCCGAGGGCGACGCGGGCGATTTCTGAGATGAGCGGCGGGTGGCCTGGGGCGCCGTACACCTGGATGGGGGAGGCAGGTGGTTTGGCGCACAGCCAGTGAGGCAGCTGGCGTTCGTCGCAGGGCGTAGGTGGCTCCGCGTGGAAGCCGCCTGCTGCGGCTGATATGGGGCAGATATGCACTGGTGCATCACCGCCGCTGTCAGGCGGGGGGCTGCACATGGTGGCAGGCCGCCCCTTCCCCTTGCCCCTGTGGACGCCCCGGGTGCTCGCTCACATCTCCATGGATGCTCCAAATGATTGTATTATGATGCTTCCTGACCTCGTCTCATACAGTACAGCCCCTCCCTGCCGCCCCTCCCCCTCACTGGGCGACCCTGACGCCTCACCGCAGTCAGCCTGGGAAGCTGCTCCACGGCCGCCATCTGCTGAGTCAGCACGAGGATGTTGCTCGCCAGGACGCTCTTGAGCTCTGAGGGGCTGGCAGCAAGGATACTTGAGTCATAGGTCCGGTAGGCAAATTCAAGCGCTGTGACACCTTGCAAGCGCCTGCAAGTAATGTTGGAGGCGTCGTGGGGAGTCGGGAGGGTGGGCAGCGGCGGTCGCATGCTGCACGCTGGGGGGTGCGGCTGAGCATGGGCCAGGGCGCACGATCCCCCCAGCCCCTGCAGCCCTGAGTGCCGAGGGGCGGGTCGCTCGGCGGCAAGCGCGTGCCCTCGGCCGCCCCGTGTGCGGTTGCGGCCTCACCTGGCGGTGGCGGTGAGCTGATCAGGGTCGCAGCCGGAAGCCCCCTTATAGCAGCCGATGCTGAGAACATCGACGTAGCCGCCGTCGATCACGTCGCGCAGGCGCCTGCTTGACGCCCTCAGAGGGCCCAGGGTGCTCAAGCGGTTGCCAGCTGGCGCCAGCCAGGCAATAAGGACCTCCCAAGCGCCCGACGTGACGGGGACGCCGGGCGGTGGGGCCCGGGCCTGCTGCTGCCCCTGCCCCTGCCCCTGCTCCTGCTCCTGCTGCTGATAGTGCTGCTCCTGCTGCTGCTGCTGCTGCTCCTGCTGCCGCTGCTGCTGCTCTTGCTGCTGCTGCTGCTGCTCTGGCAGCGCTGGCAACATGGCCGCTAAGGCTTCTGCTACCAGGCGTGCTTCGTCCACCTCCATCACAAGAGCGAACTTATATTATCCAGAATGTCGTTGCAGCGACGAGTTTCGTCAGAATTGTACTGCACACGAGATTCACAGCCAATGCTCCCAAACCGGGTGTATATATCACAATCAGCAAATTCAGAGTCTGGAAATTGCTCTGCATCACAGGGAACAGAAACCGCGGCTCGACCTGATCGTATGCTGTGTCACTCATCGGCGGCGGGTGTGTGCTGCGCCTGTCGAAACTGCTGGGCCACCAATGACTATATGGGTGGTGGGCACATGCATAGGTGCACCGGCTTGAAAGAAGTTACACGTGGATCTGATATGTAGGATGTTACGGCGCAACTTCACGACAGCGCAAGCACAAGGCCTGGGTGTCTTGCCATGAGCGCCCTCGCAAACGCTGGCTGGACCCCGTGAGTATGAAACGCCAAAGTAACGCGCACCACCGGCGGTCCCCCGACCGCCGTCCCCTCGTCTCCCTGCGCCTGATCGAGTTGCTCCTCCCCACGGCACTGCCACTCCTCCCGCCACCTCAGCGGCGCCGCCATGTCCTCGAGCTCCTGCGGCGCTACCTTCGCCGTCGCCACCCGGTCATCTGGGTCGATCAGCCGCAGCGACAGCGCCCTGACCCGCCGCAGCTGCAGCAGCGCCAGCAGCAGCCGCGGCAGCACATCCGCGCAGGGCGGCAGCAGCGGCGCCTCGGGCGCGGCGTCCTCTACCAGGTTGTTCCAGTGGGGCCTGACCCAGCACTTCTGTGCGTGCAGCTCTTCCAGGCAGCCGCTCAGCGGGCTGTCCCCAAACACCCTCAGCACCCTGTCCACGCCTTCCACGACCCCGTCGAGGCGCACGCGCCGCAGGCTGCCCCACCGCGGCGCGACGCGGGTGAGCGCTGCGCGTGAATTCACGTCAATGCCTGCGACCGGAGAGAGCAGGGGGTCAGCGGCGATGCGCGGCACAGAAGGCGAGGCACGCGGCCGGGCCCTTCCGCGGATTCAAGGACCCCACCAGCCACTTTCCCATGCACATCTGCAAAGTGTGTGGCTGTCCTTGAAGCCTCAATGAACTGCCGTATGCAACAGAATAGGGACCGGCAGGCATCAAACGCGGCCGCGCCGCCAGACATCACCGTCGATATCCCATTTCAAGTGCAGCTCCAGCCCGCCAGCGCCCGCAGCTGCGTCGTCGTCCTCCGCAGCAGGCGCCGCCGCCTCGTCGTCCGGCCCGGCCGGGACGCACTCGATGGCGCCATCGCGCCCAAGCGGCAGGCGCAGGTGTGGCTCATCGGCCCCGGCGAATTGAGACGCCCTCATCCAAGTGGGTGCCCCCTCCACAGAGCTCTCATCGCCAAACTCGAGCAGCCTTAACCGCCGCAAGCCGCGCAGGGCGGGCCCCGGGCAGAACCCCGAGGTTATGCTCTCCACATAGATCTCCTCGAGGTTGGGCGCGATGCGGTGGAGGTCGCCGCGGACGTCCGCGTCGTCGTCATCCTCGTCGCGCGAGTACAGCGTGGAGACCCTCAGTACCCGCAGCCGCGGCAGCGGGGCCGGCGCCGGCGGCAGCGGCGGCGGCGGCGGCGACCAATCGCCCACCTCGTATTCGGGGCCGGGCCACGTCGGTCCCTCCAGAATGATCCCTCTTGCGATCTTCAGATCCTCGAGGTTTGGCAGGTTGAGTCCAACGTCCCGCAAGCAATCGGCGGCACGATGCGATGGGGAGTTGAACAGGCTTTCTGAGATGATCTCGCCGCGATCGTGAAACCTGGTTTGCGATGGGCGCGGCGGCAGGAACCGCGTGTGTACAGCGTGCCACCCGGGTGGCGTTTCAGCATTGCAAAGTCTGCAACACAGACCTTTCCATGGTGGCATGCGAGCGGCTGCCGCATGTCGTTTCAGGTTTATGGCGGCCATCTGGCGCCGCAACGCCGCCCCGAACGGCAACAGCCCACTCCTTGCGGAGCGCCGCGCGGTTGCCAGAGAGGCCGCCTGCTGCCACGCACGCACGCCGGCATGCATGCGCGAGCGACGCATATGCAGCACGAGAAGGGCAGCGGACGCTCACGGGTCAGACGTGTCCCCTAGCACGAGGGCAGTGACAGAAGTGAGCGCGTCCCCCGCAACGCCAGCGAGCATCCGCAGGTTCTTCACATCACTCTCGGCCAGCAGCTCCAGCCGCCGCTGCGCCAGGATCAAATTGGGGGGCAATGCGCGGGGCCCAGCGCAGGGGTCGTGGATAAAAGCTGTGCGGAAGCGCGCGGGGCCGCGGCCAAATCGAGATGTGGCGGCCGCGGGGCCCGCCGTGGGCGTGCGTTTACGGGGTTTGGGGAGGTGGCGTGCCTCGAGGTTGCAAGCGTCCGCGTCAGCGCTCCTGTGTGCGCATGTTCCCGAAGATACCGCCGTTCAAGGGCGCCGCCCACCAGCGCCGTGAGCCCAGCCAGCGCCGGCGGCGCGACGTCCCGGGGCCAGGCCACCAGCACCAGCGTCTTGAGCGACGTCGCCGTGGGCAGGAGCGGCCGGAAGGCGCGCGCGGCCTCGGGCCCGACCTCGAAGCGCAGCTTGAGCGTCTCTAGGCGGCCGACCAGCGGCGCCAACGGCGACGGGTCAAACGGCGGCGCGTCGTCGTCGTATTTGAGTGGCGTTGGCATCCAGATGCTCAGCTCACGCAGGCTCGCAAACGCGTCTGGGGGGGCGAGCGACAAGAGCCTCCGCTCCGCCGCGGAAGCCGCAGGCTGGGTGTAAGCGAGCGCGCCGACGGGCAGCAGGCGGACGCTGAAGACACACAGGTTGCCGCGGGCAGAGGCGACGCGGGTGATTTCTGAGATGAGCGGCGGGTGGCCTGGGGCGCCGTACACCTGGACGGGGGAGGCAGGTGGTTTGGCGCACAGCCGGTGAGGCAGCTGGCGTTCGTCGCAGGGCGTAGGTGGCTCCGCGTGGAAGCCGCCTGCTGCGGCTGATGTGTATGGTGCAGATATGCACTGCTTCATCACCGCCGCTGTCAGGCGGGGGGCTGCACATTGTGGCAGGCCGCTCCTCCCCTTGCCGCGGGGGCCGTCCCAGGTGCTCATGCAAGCTTGTCAATTTCTCCACGGTTGCTCTCAATCATTGTGACAGGAAGCTCCCTGGCCGCATCTGATAAAGACTTGCCCGTCTCTGCCGCCTCTCGCCCTCACTGGGCCACCCTGGCGCCTCACCGCGGTCAGCCTGGGAAGCTGCTCCACGGCCGCCATCTGCTGAGTCACCACGAGGATGTTGCTTCCCAGGATGCGCCAGCGCTCCGAGGGGCTGGCGTCTGTGTCAGAGTCATAGGTCTGGTAGTCAAACTTGAGCATTTTCGCTCCTTGCAAACGCCTGCATGTGATGTGTGGGGCGTCATGGGGAGTCGAGGGGGCGGGCGGCGGCACTTGCATGCTGCCCGCTGGGGGATGTGGCTGAGCATGGGCAGGGGCACACAATGTCCGCAGCCCCTGCAATCCCGAGCCGCACGCGCCGCCCACCACGCATGGCAAGCAGCACGGGCGCCCTTTGGAGCCCGCCCGGCCTCCTGGCTGCCGCGAGGCCGCACGGCGGACGGCGCGCGCCAGCGACCGCCGGGCTTGCAGCCGCGGCCTCACCGGGCGGTGGCAGTGAGCTCCTTGGGCTGGCAGCCGGAAGACCCCTGATAGCAGCTGACACTGACAGAATCTACGTAGCCGCCGTCTATCATGTCACGCAGGCGCCTGCATGACGCCCTCAGCGGGCCCAGAGTGCTCAAGCGGTCGCCGGCTGGCGCCAGCCAGGCGATCAGCACATCCAACGCGCCTGACATGTCTGGGACGCCGGGCGGTGGGGCATGGGCCTGCCGCTGCCGCCGCGGCCACTGCTGCTGCTGCTGCTGCTCCTGATCCTGCTGCTGCTGCTCCTGCTCCTGCTCCTGCTCCTGCTGCTGTGGTGGCACTGGTGGCAATGGCGGTGTTGATGGTGGTGCAGCGGGTGCGGGTGGCGGGAGGGCTGCTGAGTGCTGGCGCCCCCTGCGAGATGGCTACTGCTGCCAGATGTGCGTCGTCCTCAATGAAAAAAAGTCATTTTATATCGAAATGCCTCGACAGGGACGGATTTCATGTATAGATCTTCACCGATGCGTTCGAAGCAGATTGCCCACTTTGAAGGCGGGCTTATACATCAGTGCAGGGCATGCAGGTTGCTCTGCATTACAGGGACCCGCTGCTCAATCCGATAATCTGTCATGTGTGTCAATCAGCGGCGGCGGTTGCAGTGTTATACCATACCAAATGGCTGCGGACATGCAAAGCAGTGCGCAGTCTGAGTCCACGCTGGAACCGACTGAAGCCCAACAACTCAGCAGGCCTGGATTGCATGCACATGTCCCTGCCCGTAGTGCGTATGGCGTACCTCCAGCAGACGCCCATAGGTCAAACCCAATGGCACCAGCTCAGTCAATGAGTCAAAGCTACCACGCTGCCCCACACAGGGCGGGGGGAGGGGCGTTATGGCAAAGGTATGAGATGCATGCGCTCACATGGCCGTCACATGCCCGTCGGCTGGGGCTGACACCCAGGAGCGCCGCTAGCCCTCAGCACATAGATCGCCCGTCTGAGGAGGGCGGCCGCCTCCACTCCCCAGCTCGGCAGCGACGCTTCCTCGCCTTCCTCCAGCGACGTCAGGTCCAGGGTGCCGGTGACATCGCATCCCTCCAGCGCTGCTGATGTCAGGTCTGACCATGTGACATCGTACAGCCTCGGCTGCGCCGGTGCGCCGGGCCGCGCATGCCCGCCGCCGCCGCCACCTCCGCCGCCGCCCGCCGCCGCCGCCGCCGCCTCCGCGTTGCGCCGCGCCGCGC